TAATAATAATAATAATAATAATAATAATAATTCTGCAAAAAAGAACAACAAACTGTTGAAACAATAAAAAATCAAACAAATTTTATACATACAATTTTCCAGTTAATGTGTAAATTAACATATTTCCCTGAATGAACTATTATTATAATAATATTTAATTTTTATTACATCTACAAAAAATAACAGCTTTTTTTTTTTTTAGGCAAGCATTATTATGATGATTATCATTATTAATAGTAGTAGAAATATTATTTATTTTCCAGTTATTGAGCAAATTAATATTTGTTTTTCCAAATTAATTAATTAGTATTTATAAAAATACAGATTTTTTTTTAGGTGAGCATTATTATTAATCGTAGTATTAGAATTATTAGATTTTCCAGTACATGTATAAATGAAATAAAATAAATTTATATAGCAATTTTTTTCTGGTAAATAATTTTTTAAAAACTAAAGTTTTACAGATTTTCTCTGTTTTGTTAAATTAAAAATAACTAGTAAAATTACAGGGGAAGAAAAATATTAATTTATTTCTACATTTACTAGAAAATATAATAAAAATAATAATTTTTAAACACTTTCTAAAACAATTTATTAAGAAAATTACAGTGAAGTGAAAAAAAAAAGTAATTTGTTTTTAAAGTGAGGCCTGTACACTGAAACAGGGTTAATAGTCGTCAACACTGAATCCCTGAAGCATGAAACATTTATTTTGCTGGTTTTAAAAGTTTATAAAAGAAAAATCTGTTCCATCTAAAAGTGTGACAACATCAGAAGAAGATTCAAAGTTTTGATGATTATTTTTACATAAACGCTGGTTTACAGCAGCAGGAAGACGAGAGAATAAAACCTATTTAACACGTAACACTGCTGAACACAGACGTCTGGAGGCCTTCACATAGAAATGTTGGACTGTAGGAGCTTCAACACCAATAGAAGTGCTTTTTTTCAATCTCAGAATTTTGCTAAACTTGGAGCAGAGTCTCTAAAAGCTCAATCATCCAGTTTACACTAAACTTAAATCCTCCTTTACATCCAGTGTTTAGTCTTTGTCTCCATCTAGTGGCCGCGAGACAAACTTCACCGTCTTCCGTCCAAACACATCAAAAACTGGGACCTTGTTGGCATCAACCTTCTCGTTTTATTCCTCGTTCATCAACAACAACGTTTTAAACAACTGTTAGAAATCGCAGTGTACGACATGGAGAGCAAAGTTCACAGGAAAGGAAACAAACACAAGAAAAGACAGGAATCAGCATTCAGAGGTTCAACCCTCAGATCCTCTCCTCCGTCGTCTTACAGCTACATGCTGCAGTGCCGTCGCTGCAGTTTTAACAACAGAACAGAACTAAAGTTTAGGAATGATCGACCTGAGTTTAACTCAATTATGATTGGGAACAAAACGACAAACTGACTAATCAACACAGCTGAACTACGCTCTGCTTTGTACATTTATAAAGATCAGTTTTATTCCTTCAAACACACTTAACATCTAAACGGAGTGAATGATAAAACTCATTCCTCCTTAGAAAGAGTCCACAAGAAGCCCGAAGGAGTCATACATTGTCAAAAAAAAGGCCTAAAAATACTCAGCCGCCAGTGTTTCTGGATCCTTCGTTGTGACTTTTTGAGTTTTTCAAGAACAAAGCAGCAGGTTTCAAAAACAAAACGCCTGTGATTGTTTGACATCAGATGCTTCAATGCATGAACGTACGTCGTAATGAGGCACAAAGCGAAGCCGCCGCCCGACAGGAGCGCCGGCGGCCACCGACAGACATCGTGAAGGTAGAGCTAGGCGGTACAATCAAGGCCAAATATGCAAAATGTCGCTATGAAGTGCTGGTTCTATACCACGAAGACGCCGGACCGGCTGGAAAAACGTAAAGGACGGCGGACGTTCACTCCGAAGCCGGTCTCAGGAAGATTCTGCAGATGAACAGTGTTTTCTTTTGGTTAATGCACGTCTGAACACGGCGAGGTTCACATCGACCGCAACCGCAGCTGCATGTAAAGGCTTTATTTACAGTAACGCAGGAAAACGTGAAATCTTTTGTCCCTTAGAGCAACTCAACACTGTCCAACACCTGTAAGAAAGAAATAAAAAAAACACCACTTATAAAAATCCAAAGAAAAGCATCCGAACCGTATAAAACGACGCTCGGAGCCGATTTTGTCTAAATGCTTTAAAACAAACGAAGGCAGATCGACCCTCTTCCACAAAACCGGGTCAAGTGTTCTCAGGCCTTCAGAGTGCAGCCGCGAGTAAATCCATGTTTGTGCAGTTTGTTTTTTTTTTAAATTATGTGCTCCATCTTTTCAAGTAATCTCAGCGACAAAAAACCCAAAGATTCCTCCCGGTCTCTGATTGTTCCAGTGGTTCCATCAGTGAGTAAAAAGAAAAAAAAAGTGCTGAAAGTAGAAACCCTCAGAGAAGCACCGAGCTACAGAACCGGCCGACATGATGATCCCCGGCTCGGCTCACGAGGACAGTTTGGAGTAGCTCGGCGGTGAAAACTTGCGCTTCAGGTATTTGATTATGTAGAGAGGAAGACAGCTGACCAGCGTGATGGCGGAAACCTTCCACAGGAAAGGCCAAGTCGTGATGAAAGACAAGTCTGGAAGGAAGAAACAACAGGTGAGTCAAAACTGGACCAATGAATACGTAGGGATGTCCAGATCGAGGGTTTGTTTGCTACTGATATCATACGAATCATTTAATAATTAGCATCTGCAAATACTGAGTCCCAATCCAGTACTGTTTTCCTACATAAGACCCACTGAATGTATATCAAAGTGACTAGAATCAAGCTGCTCCTTAATGTTCTGATGGTGTTCAGGAAACTTGTTGTGAAGCTCCAGTAGAACCCTGTCTGGTCGGATGAACTGAGGCTCCACAAGCTCCAGAGAGACGGAGAAAACCTGTTGTCTCTACACGATGCCAGAAAATGTGTCGTAGATCAGCTGTAGTACCGGGTTGTTCCACCAGGTGGAGCCTCTTAGGAATTATTACTTTACTAGGCACAAGAGGAGGTATCACCTGGACTATAGGTAACTCATGTTAGCAAACAGAGAGCATTGTGGGAGTTTAGCTATTAAAGGGGAACCACGACAAAGACCTCTGTGACACTAAACAAATATTGAAGAACTTCCAGCCTTATTAATCAATAATCGATAAAATGAGCTTGGCGGACACAATTACAAGTCAAAACAAATCCACCTTAACCAGCATCATGTGACATTTGCCACTCTAATGCCGTACATCATCTGACTGATTGACTTTGATAATGAACTGCTAACTACTAGCAACAACGTGCTCCCACGCAGTTATTGGTAAACAACATGGATGCTCTGGCTGGTACCTATAAGGCCTCGCAGAACATTTTCTAACACACGAACTCCCACCACTTACTTACGTGCATTTTGATTTGTTGCTTTAGATCAAATGTTCAGGTCACAAACGTTAGTTCGACAGGTTGGGTTGTGCGCAATGTAAACGTAGATTTGTTGTTTTTAATATTTTGGATATTTGAGCCACCCACAGAAGTTTTTAACTGATCAACAAGAAGTAGCTCTGCAACATCTTCTACTTAATTAGCCCTTGTTGGTTTCGGTTCTTTACAACTTATTAGCTCTGCTGAAGGCTATGAAGCATCTGATAGGTCTTTGTCATGATACCTGTTGCTAGCTAAACTCCCACAATGCTCTCTGCTCACCAACGCGAAGCTGCCGGTAGTCCAAGTATCTACAGTATTAAACAGGAGGAGGCTCCACCTGGTGGAACAACCAGGTACTGCAGCTGATCTACAACACATTTTCTGACATCTTCTGCCTTATTAGTGAATACATTTTTAATCTGTTGGATTATTAAGGGCAAATAATCGATTAATCTAGGACAGGCATATTCAATAGATCTTTGTGGCCCAAATCGACTAAAAACAGGAGTAGTGTTGATAATTGCTGATGAAGAAAATTATTAATAATTTTTGTTCCCTAGCGTCCTCGCTTCGGGACATCCCTCGTTATAGACAATCTAGTAAAGCAGGAATCAACAACATTTCATTACAAGATGTAAAAGCAACACAACAGTTGGGAAAAATCTCAGGAAGTCCAAATCAGACGTGGTTCTTGATGCGTTGACTCACAACACGGAGGACTCGGCGTCATGCCATTCATTCCACGAACAACACACACAAAGACAACACACACCTGCAGAGCACGTTGATGCAAAAAACACCGATGCAATGAAACAAAACGAAACAGGAACAACACAGGACGGAGATGGATGAGGCGAGTTCGCAGGCCGCAGACCTACCAAGGAAAGCTCCAAAGGACACCCTGCCTATGCCTGGAGGCGACGTACAGAAGCAGAAGAAGTGCAGCAGAAACAGTGAGTGCAGTAGAAAGAGAGGAAGAGGAGGAGGAGAAGAAGAAGAAGGAGGAAATAAGAGCACAGAGCTGAAGGTTGAGCTACAGGATGATCCAAGAAGTAGCTTCACGTCGAGCTAAACACAAAGCAGGTGCAGTGAACCAGACTCATTCACTACGGGACACGTCGAAGCGACAGTAAAGTTTTAATTTCTCTCAGCTGTTGAAGCAGCAGCTCACTTGGATCCGTCCTCAGCAAACACAGAAAACAGCCTGAAATGATTTAGCTAGTCGCTATTTTGGTAACTGAGTCACTGTTTCAGTCATTTTTCAGCCTTAATTGGGCAATAAAGTGAATTTCTCTGGGGTTTGGGACGTTGTTCAGACTGAAAAGTGGCATTTCATGGGAAAAATCTGTCACAGAAACTCATTTATTTAGAAAACACTCGTCAGATGAGTGGATAGCAAGTAGGTCCACCAGTTATGGGTCTGGCTAATTATCAGAGCTGATATTCAGGAATTTATATCATGTTTTAAACTGATTACCTATATAAGTAAAAACCCAATCATTTAGGCTCTGATGCAGCCGCAGCCGAGTTCTCTTTTGATTAAACATGTAAAATATTAATTAAAAAAATATATTCCAACCAAGCTTTGTGTTAGAATTTGTGTTATTCTTAATTTTGACACCAAGATTTTTATATTTTTTTTGCAAATATGCATCAGTTATTGATCTCTGTCATTAAGAATAATCAACACTGGCCCTGATCAAAATAATAATAATAAAAAAAACTACATCAGTCTCATTAGAATAAATAAATAAACAGCTGTAGCACCAAACATCTTGTCCTGTGAAGCTTTTCTTACATCTATCTCTGTTGCACAGTTTTCATTAAAGGTGATTCTGGAGAAAGACTGTTGATGTTTAGCAAGTTTTATTTAGATGTACGTATTTACGATATTTACAATTTCTCTCACGCCGACAACTCTGATATAAAAAGTGTCAGATTAGAATCACTGCCTCCGCCTTTAACACACAAAACTAATTTCATAAAAGACTCAACGGATTGTACAAAAAAACAAAAGCGAGACTCACCAAAGTACTCGTTGAGGAAGGCGAGCGAGGCGAGGTAGCAGCCCAGGCTGAAGAACTCGGCCACCACCATGAGCCAGTGCCAGGTCCGGATGGTCAGCGCCACCATGAGCAGCTCGGTCAGGATGAGCGCCGTGAAGGAGATGGCGACCACGTGCACGAACTCCGACTCGAACAGCACCAGAGCGCCGTACATGAGGATGCCACCTGGGGGCGCCAAAGGAGACACACGGAGGGTTTGTGGAGGTAAAGTGCGATAAAGGTGGGTTTCCCTACATCACAGCTACGAAAATTCATGAAAAATCCACCAGCGTGTCCCCCCAGACCTCCTCACAATCAGCTGATTTCTTATCTACAGTAACTTCATGACATTTAATGAAGTCGTGCAGAGTTTGTGTATTAGTATATAACAGACCTTTAATGGCCACAGAAGTGAGTCCAAACTGCAACCTAATAACTTTTACTTCCACCCAGGAGTCACAATGAGTAAAGCCTAAATCTGTTTTTGATTAATTTTCTCTCTAACCAGCTGGTAGCATCAGTATTATGGGATGTACGACACAATCATTGGTACCCTGGATGTGGTTCTGGTTCTGATCATTCACCAGAGAAAACTTTACAAAGTGCATTATGGGTAAACTTTCCAGGCTCACATCAGCATGTGTGATGGTCAGAACCAGTTCTAGACGATGGAAGGACCGTTGGACCTCCAGAACAAACCAGCTGATTATGACTAATTTTCTAATCAAGGCATATTTTAAGGACTCGCAAATTAGTGTTCACATTTTTAGAATAGTTTGGACAAATCACAAGCTTTGAGCGTTCAGTTCTTAATAAAACACACACAAAAAACAGATTCAGTGTTCAGACTGTGACACCTGGATGGATGTAAAACTGATCTGGTTGCAGTTTCAACTCACCTCCATGCACTTCAAGGGCCTTTAACTCTAAACATATTCACAGTATGAAGGTAAAACTCCGCATGGCGTCATTAAATATACACTAAAGTTGCTGTAGATATTTTGGTTGGAGGTTTTAAAGCAATTCAGATGTGTTCTTCCTCCTAAAATGTCAGGTGTCTATCTGCTGCACTGATGAAGTTCTGAAGCTCAGAAATGATGGAACAAGTGATAAATCTGGAATTCAGGGGCCTTTAAGTCTGAAAATATTCACAGCATGAAGGTAAAACTTTGCATGTTTTCATTAAATCAACTAAAGCTACTGTAGATAAAGAACCAGCTGATTCTGAGGAGGTCTGGGGGAATCTTTTTTTCCTAAATTTGCTTGATTTCACATCGAATCATCCACATAGTATATGGCTTACTATCGAAGCACCCGTATGAGAACGACAACAAGCCGTTTTAATTTGGCCCCGATCATCAGCGCCCTCCACCGGGACACCGAGTTAAATACGGATGCGTCTGGAGATAAGATTCAATAACTGCGTTTATGAGGACGACAAGATGCACAATGTGTTCTAGTGTGTCTCACTCCGGTAAACATCTCCAGACACTCAGTCATCTTCAGGCGCCCGCTGAATCCCGATAGCCTTTAGTTTCATCATAACACAAATTGAGCCTAATAGCCTATAACTGATCGCATAATTGCCTTTCTTTTTTTTTTTTTCATACAGTCTTCATACGTTGCATTCCAGCGACTCAAACTCTGTAATAAATGAAGCCTGATTGGTGCCTAATATTTTCCTCCCGTCTTTATTTTACCTTTTTTTTCTTTTTTTTTTCTCCACCCGGTATCGGCCTTTAATTAAAAAAACCTCGAGCTGTCAGGAAGTCACGCTCGAGCAGGAACATAGATCTTTCTCACACGCTGCATGGCTTAGCGATTACAGAAATATCGATTTACTGGACGGACAAAAGGCCGCATGTAAAAGCGGATGGCGGTTGGAAACCTTAGATACTGAGAAACAGACTGTGTGAGGGTTTGCAGGGGCCCGGGGACCCCTGGCATTAGACCCAGCGCGCATGATGAAATGGTGGTCGAGGAGTTGCTTTGACAGTCTGCAATGTCAGACCGCTCATTCTCCAGGAGACGCCGTCGTGTTCGGCTCGGTTCTGGTGCAAACTTTGCAGCAAACTCGTGTCACGAATGGCGGTGAAATCGAACTTTGAGAGCAAACGTCTGCGCCGTACCTTGGTAGACGCTGATCAGAACCCAGATAAGGAAAGTCTTGAAGGACAGCGAACGCCCCTGCAGGAGAGAAACATCCGTGAGTGCGACACTTTAACGAGGTTTCAAATGATTAGATTAAAAATGGCAGAATACCTTGGTGAGGTCTTTGTAAAGCTCTGGGTAGAGCAGAGCCATCTCAGGCTTCACGTCTTGGTCCAGAACCAGAGAGAACACAGGGAACATGGTGTAAATAGTGGCATACCTGCACAGAACAGACAGAAGGCTTCAGAGGGAGAGGATGGGCAACAAGACAACAAGCTTACACTATCAAACGCCTCCACAGCGCTGTGCTGTGTTGTGTTGTGTTGTGTTGTGTCGGCCCCACAAGGGTTCTGGAGAAGCTAACGTACCCGACCATGAGGAAACCCTGGTACAAGGGCACTGAGGCGAAGAAGAATATGGAGGAGAAGACGGCCTGAGGGTAGCAAACAGAAAGTCAGACAGGAACTTTCCGGCACCCAGAGTGGAAAATGATCTCAGCCAAAGTAAACTCAAAACAATATTCAAAAACAAAACAACTTTACGAGAAGCACAAACAAGTCCAGAGTTCTGTTGGGTCCCAGCCGTACCTGCATGGTGGAGATGATCATGCCTCTGTGCATGACGAACTGTCCGAGCGCCGCCGAGCGCTTGTAGCTGTTCCTGCCGTGAACCATGAGCAGGCGACCGATGTGTTTGAACTGAGTGATGGAGAAGTCTGCAGCCAGAGACGCCTGCTTCCCTTCCTGTGAGCAACAAGGACACATGAAAAGATGCTGCGCTGAACTAGCATTTAACAAAACAGAACGTAAAGGAAACCACAATCTGTGCAAAACAACATCGGGTTAATCTCTGTAATCATTACTATGTGCTACAGTCAGGTTAGGTTGTATTTTATATCACATTTGTAGGGTTTTAATCCGCAATATGTCAAATATTGAGTTTTTATTGTTAAAATGACACCACAGGGTCCTGACACCAATATTCAAGCACTCTGTTTTAAAATAGCTGTATGAAAAACGGGGACTTGATTTGAACCTCGAGCTGTCAGGAAGTCACGCTCGTCTAAAGTCTAAAACTCAACACGTTTTAAGCATCACGGTTTTATTCTCAGTTTTCAGACACATTGTTAATTTACTATTATTATTATTATGTATATGATTGTGGTCCACTTTTGCATAAAGTTCAACCCTCTTGGCATCTCGTTTATGTCTTTATATTTTATGTTTTAACTTCTAAACACACCAAGAGCATTTTTTACATTTTTTATTTTGTCCTTCTTAAATTACTGCAACTGCCTTAAACTAAAAAAAAATAAAATCTACTGATCAGCTGCCAGAAGCAAAACTAAGAAAAGAAACATTCAAATTATTCCTATTTCAGCCTCTTTAAACCGGCCCCCAGTAGGATTTAGATTTTAAGGCCCTTCATAACACTTTTTTTTCCTCTGAGCTTTTTGTACTTTACGCACCAGAGATCTTCAGTCTGCTCCAGAGACCCGGCTGAAGACTAAAGGTGATAAAAACACACCTTTCTTGTCTTGTATTTCTTTCAGCAGTATGTTTTTAACCTTTTCCTGCACTGTGCTGCTTTTATGCACCACGTTGTGTTTCTGTCCGTCGCCTGTTTGACTTTATGAAGCACTTTGTAACTTGATTCTGAACACAGATTATTATCCGTGTTCAGGCGGTTTACGGAGGTCATTTACCTTTCCTTCGATGCCGATACCACAGTCTGCAGCCTGGATCATGCTCACGTCGTTTCCTCCGTCACCTGTCACGCAAAATGGAAAACACACGTTAAAAATCCCGTTTGACAAAGTCCATTAGAGGCTGTAAAAGCAGCGGCTGTGGTGATTGCGAGTGCTTCTCAGTGAGTTTTTGCTGCCATCTTGTGGGCACATGAGGTAACACACCAGTTTAACCTCTCAGTTACATTCATGTCAGGTTAAATCTATTTTCCACAGCCTGATTGAAACCCGTGCAGCTGAACAGCGCTGCTCAGATGCGCTTTAGCGAGCAGTTCATGTCAAACAAAGTATGAAACAGGGCTGCTTATTTAATTAGTCCGCCCACTCGACTGTTTTATACATTTTCCTCCCTGAGGGCCGGAGCCTCGGCTTTAACAGATTTTCCCAGGCTGCCGGTGGATCGGAGCCAGCTGCCTCACAGGTGAGCAAACCCGCTGCCCTCTACCCGTCAACACTCACCTATGGCGCAGGTTCTGTTGGCGGTGTGCTGCTGGAGGAGCCGGACGATCTGGGCCTTCTGGGTCGGCGAGCAGCGGCAGCAGACCACGGCCGGACACTGACACGCCAGCTCCACAAACTCGTGCTCGTAATACCTCAGACACACCTGAAACACAACACTGGATACTGAAAGACCTGCAGAAACGCTGAAACTCCTGCTCGGCTTTCCTGCAATGTTCCAGTTGTTTTAGTGATTTGTTTTTTTTTTCTCTCTCTAAATCCCCGAGACCTTGAGCGAACCCCACAAGTATTATGTTTGGCCGAGAAGCGCCTCCCTATTCTCTCCTCGCCTGTTTGGCTGCATCCTCAGCATCATCTGCTGTGCGGGGAAATGTCACTGCGAGCTGCGCTACGTTCGCATGCGGTGCTGTAGTACCTCCAAGGAGTCTCCGGAGATGACCAGAGCGCAGTCGTGCTTCCTTCTGAAGGCGTTGAGCTCCAGATGGGCCTCTCCTCTGTTGGAGACCTGCTCGAGAGCCACACAATGCAATTAGCCACGAGAGCATTTAGGCTTTCTGCCGCGTCCCATCGAGTGGGCGCATTATGCTGTAACGGCGAGGGGAGAATTATAAAAGACAAGAGCACCGGTTTGAAGACGTGGATGTGTTGGTTTCTGGAGACCAAATGGGAGCTTTTAGCGATGCACGTCGCCGTCTCCAGCTTGTCTCCGGTCAGCATCCAGATCTGAGCAGAAACAAGATTGAAAGATGTTGTGAGTGAAATCCGACGACAATATCTGGTCAACAGACACATGAATTAAAGTAATTCCCAATCAGGAATTATTAGACTGTTTGCTCCCGATACGAATAACCTCATATTTAATGCCATTTTCTTAGATAACACACACTTTGAATATTGTAGATGAGCTGTAGTACCTGGTAGCTGCACCGTACTACATTGTGGGAGTTTAGCCAGCAAAGGAGCACCATGACAAAGACTCCTAGTAGGTTTATTTAGATCAGGTTGGCAAGCAAGTGGAACCAACTGGGCTGGAATAATCTAGAATGGTATTCTGACATATCGGTGGACCATCTAACAGCTATTTTTTGCGGTTGTATTTTGTGTTTGCATGGAAACAGATGACAAAAAAAAAAAGAATCAGGCACAAGGTTATGACAATACACACTTTAAATATTAAAAAACAGCTGTAAGACCTGATTGTTCCACCGTACAGTTAAATACTGTAGTGAGGAGGCAGCCATCTCTGTGTTGGCGGGCAGAGAGCATTGTGGGAGTTTAGCTGGTAAAGAAGCGCCATTACAAAGACTTCTGGGATGCCAATTCAGATCAAGCAGGTAAGAAAGTGTGAAAAAAAAAAAAAAAGTTGATTATTTAGCATTCTAGCAAAGCAACAGATGTTAAGAACTGGGGATGGGTTTACCCAGCGCCAACCGCTTAAACGTCTCTGTGAGCTGTCCTGATCCCAGGCTCTGGTTTGGGACATTCCTAAAAAAAATAGGCTTTTTCTACCTGTTTTAATTTAATATTTGGCCATTGTCTTAGATAATACACACTTCAAATCCTGTAGATTAGATGTAGCACCTGCTTGTTCCACCTTAGGGCGAAATACAGTAGCGAGGAGTCGGGAGAGAGCATTGTGGGAGTTCAGCTGGTAAAGGAGCGTCGTGACAAAGACTTCTAGGAGACTTGACGAAGTGTAAAATACTAGTGTGGCATTTCTACACAGGAGTGGGGGAACTTGGCAGATATTTTTATGGCTTTATTTTGCATTCCTGCATGGAAACAGATAGATGCATGCGATAAAAATAATTTAAACATTCCAAGTTAGGGACATGGCCAGATATTAAACTTTTTCTCCCTGTTTTTCCGTCATAAGTTCCTGCTAAGACTTATAAGGCAGAACGTTCCGGCATGACGTAGGTGTTGACTGGATACATCACTTCAATGCTTCCTAATAAGTGTGCAAGCAAGCTCTGGTGTTTTCAGAAACACATTTTGGTGAGCTGTTTTTAATGACACAAGCCACCATGTCCAGGAGCAGACAGCCCACGAGTGAAGCTGCTGAAGTTGAAACCTGCAAAGCGATACTGTCGAGGCCCAGACCATTATTCTGGCGGTCTAGTCACATTTCGGCACAGACCTTAATGCCAGCGTTTCGGAGCAGCTCCAGCGTCGGCCGAACGTCCGCCTGCAGCTGATCTTCTACGCCGGTCAGACACAGGAGCTCCATCTCCCTCTCAAGACTCTCCACCACCGCCGCCACCTTCAGCCCTCGGTCGTGGATGCTCAGCTTCGCCTGGTTGTAGCGGTTCTGTACAAAAAGGCAAATTCAGAAGAAAATCGTGCAGTAAATAGGAAAGCAACACCACAGACGTACGGTTGTCCTTAAAATACGACTTTCTAGTTTTTGTTTCATACATGAAAGTCGATCAGTGTCTATAAAAACAAGTTGAAAAGAACCGTTTTGGTTTCCGTCCACAAAAAGCCTGGTGAACGCTCTTTGATGACGACATGTACATGAATGTAGAACACCAAGCAAACACTGAGCAGAGGTCTAAAATAATACTGTTACTAGAACATAGAACACATTTCCAACCTTGGGAGAAGGAAACGAGATGAGGATAAGGACCGCTGATAATAAAACTAATATTACATATTCAAAAATGACTGTGCATCTGCAACAGTTTAAGAGAATAATATTTTGTTATGTGGATTTGATACAGAGACAATTACATGCATCTGTTTTGTTTTTTTTTGTCTATCATGTTGTTGTTTTTTCTTTTTTTCTTAAAAAAATAGCTTTTATATTTGTCTAAATCAGTAATAAACAGGTTTTTCTATGACTTTGTCCTCCACATAAATACGAGAAATACACTAAAGTCAAACAGAACCACAAACCAAAGCCCCGGAAACGACCAAACTGTGAATCAATACGTCTATAAACAGCAACGTCCACAATAACTGTGTGTTTATTCTCTTGCGGGACAGTTGGGCTGGTTATAACGAAGCATGTAAAAGTACTGTAAGTTGTAAAACACAGTAGATTCTACTGTAATCAAGCCCGAGTAACACATTAAACAAAACAAAACACAGTCAGATGTTGACGTTACAAATAAGGACGTGAGACAACTTTGGTTTTATCACTTAATTCTTTAAAATCATCTGCAAACTGACAGGTAAAAGTTTAGGATTTAGTTTAACAATGCTGCATAAATATCATAAAGGCAGCTTTTGCGTGTAAGTTGAATTGGTTTTCTCATATATAAGAGGAGGCTAATAAGTCGTATGAGACCTGATGTTCTCTACAATCATGTGGCATATATTACAAAACACTGAGGAACCTTCATTTGCACATTCTTAGGTGAACGTTTTACACATTTCTGCTCGCTGTGGATATTTTTATGAGGTTTCTTGGATTTGCTTGTTTTTTTTAATCCTTCCTTAAAAAGTTTCTTCAAGTCAAGTCACAAAAAAGAAGAGAAACACCTTTATATAGCTATATATAGATATATAAAGAGTTCATTTACAAAAACAGATGACTCCATTTTTGTAGATTTTCAGAAAAGTTTTTTTTTGTTGTTTTCTTGAGATAATATCAATCAAACTGAAGCTGAGTGGATTTGACTCAGCAGAAATGACAACAATAGAGACAACTGAAGATGGATTGATATGGTCCCAGGGAGATGATGGAAAATTGGGTTTTCTGAATGTTTGTGAAGATGGAGGTATCTGTTTTTGCAAATGAACTCTTCTTTTCTGTGTCACCCACCGCACAGACAAGACGACATGAGATCGTGAAGCAACAGATCAGTTTGCAACACTGAAGCTCATCATTACCTCAAAGTCCTGATACTGCTCCTCAGACAGACACTTCTTGGCTACGACCAGAGTCCTCAGACCTTCTCTGGCCATGTTCCCACACTGACAGAGACGACAGGAGAGGCGCTGAGGTTAGTTCTTTCACTTCCAAGTCTCTCTGCGTGTGTGGTGTATTTCTAATAAACGTTTGTGTACGTTTAACAATGCTGCTGAAGTGCGATCGAACGCGGGCCAGATGCTCTGTTCTGCTGCAGCGGCGTAAGTACAGCGTGTTCGGCGCTGTCGATAACTGCATATGGTTACCAACACCAAAAAAAGAAATCAATATGGAATAACACCCCCTCTGGTGAAATCCAGAGGACGCGATAAAACAACGGGGATGGATGGCGGTTTATTTTTGATATGAAACGCCGATCGGGGCCGATCCGTCCTGCTGATTGGTTATTGACGCGCAGCGCACGGTCTGACAGCGGGATATTACAGCCAACAGGACATCATTAGCACCATTGTTCAAGAATATGACATACTGTAATTACTCCAACTTTATCTAGGTCACTAATTAAATCAAAAGCTGCCCCCGGTGCTAAATGACTCAATAACGCCAATATAATTATGAACATATTCCACAAAGAGCTTGGAGGGCAGCTGCACCAGCGCAGAGGTGATCTCCTCGTGACGCGTCCTGATTACAGGCGGCTGTTTCACATATTGTATTCTCATATTTAGCTGCTGTTTGAGCACATGTTTGTCATCCTGATAATGTCAAAATGTATTTTGCACGAGCAGATAAAAGCTTCTGGTGTCCGCAAAGTTAGATTTTAAAATAAGACACGGCTGCCGATGAACAGAGGACGATACTGAGCTGCCATTCTGCACACATTTACTTAGAACTGTATAAATTATATGTATTATAATCTTTAGTTTTAGCAGTTTTTTTGTTATTTTATTATATAAAATCAAAATGTGTGCACCAGCCCTCCTCTTTCAATAAAATATTCCTCCTCCATCGATCAAGAAAGGCCTCAAAACACACGTTTTTAATGGATGTCAGCTGGTTTTAATGCTTTTATTATTGAAGTTTTTATCCCGTTTTGCCTGTTTATTCTATTTCAGTTAGTTTTAGAAGGAGATTTTACTAGTTTTATTCTGTCTTGGTGTCTTGCACATGGTTTTAAACGTGCTGTGTGAATAAATTTGGTTTTAATAGCAGTGACGTTGATATTTTAGAATGACAGCCAATTGTATGTTTTTTCTTTGACCGAGGTATTCGTGAGGAAAAATGGCATTAAGTCTTGTTTTCAGCAAATCCTAATTATTCCTTCATGTTAGCTGGTGCTGGAAAATGTTTTATGCTGTCTGGAGACAAAGACAACGAAAGAAACGAACAGAAAGCTTTTTCAAAAATGTTTAAAAACCACCTCAAGCGAGCGCAATAATAATAATAATAATAATAATAATAATAATAATAATAATAATACTGGGGGAAGCATTTTGCTCCAATATCACCATTTTCACCAACTTTTTCTAAAGCGACGCTTCAAAATGCACAAAAACAGACATTACTGGAAACATGGCTAGCAGCTTTCGTTAAAATAATTAGAAAAGCATCGAGCGACTGTTGGCAAAACGTCTGCAAAAGCCACTAAATCAAATCCAATTCTACTCCTAAAACCGTCAATTTATACAGAGTGTCAGGAGATCTAAATCAGCTGTGGAGCGAGGGTGTCCGATGAGTTGTAGATCTGTGAGGTTTTACCTCTTCTTCCAACCAGTCGTTGTACTGGACGATGCTCGCCATGGCGACGTCTGCACCCTTCATGTAGAACGTGATGTCTCCGGTCGACTCCTCCTGAATAAGTACAAACAAATTTAAAATGAAATCAACAAACAAACAACCAGCAGGACAAACACTCCAAACGCAGGAGACGCGTTCATATTGAAAAGCTTCCACATGCACAAGGAACGACGAAGCCACAGCAACACTGACAGCACATGACTCGGACCACACAGGAAGCAAACGCACAATACGGTCATACACGAGGTTCACACCCGCACAATGATGCCCATCCTTTTGCTCTCCGAGGTGAAGGGGAAGATCTGCAGGATGTGGAAGGAGAGGATCTGTCCGGAGGGAGTCTTCAGCTGCAGGGAGGCCAGGTCTCTGTTGACCAGGGTCAAGCCGACGCTCTCCGTCCAGCGAACCAGCGCCACCTGGGGGACGCATGCAATCACAGCACACTCTCACAGGCGGGGAACATTTTAACCCCCACACCGGAAAAAAACAAAAACACTGGAGTGGAACAGCAAGACGTCCACAGCACGGGCTGATGAGAAACCTCCAGTGAACACAAGTAAGACATGATGGAAGCATAACTCTTTGACATATTTTCACACAATATTCCAAAGTGTTGTATTTACGATAATGAGGGTTTTGTCATTGTTTTTGACCCTCAGAACCCCAAAACCCACTCGTTTTGAATGTAATATTTACAAAAGTTGGCAAAATTACAACATTTATCAGCATCAGAAACTGTCCAAACAGACAGAATCGTTGGATTTTCAGCTTTCCGACTGTCCTTGAACCAGTTTTTTTTGGGGAACATCGACCAAGTTCAAACTTCAAATTGCAATATTTCATCAAAACACAGTATTTATTCCTTATGTTTAATTAAAAAATGATCCCAAAAAATAAACCGTTTGCACTCAATGCTGTAAAATTCTGCGCTCCTCAACTCTACCAAGAAGAGATTAGTGACTCAGTTTGGACAAAAAATTATTCGGCTGAACTGCAGGTTGTGTTACACAAGATTGGAAACTAATTTAAGCGATAAAATATTTCGCGTGGAGCCGCCATTTATCTGAAGCATTTAAACACCCGTGTGGACATTTTGTACATGTTGATTCAAGGTTTATTTTGTTAGTTTTGTCAAATAAACAATACAAGAGTTTTTTTTCTTCTGTAATTTATCACATTATTTTCGTCAGACTGCACAAAAAAACATTTCTGATTTCTCTTTAATTGAGCCATAATTTTCCGTCGAGGTGCAGAATTTTATATCGCCGTAAACGATGAGCCCACAGTGAGTAAAAATGATTTTAATAACTTGAACTGCACTATTTTAATGTCCATTGCACCGAAGATACAATTTGCACGTATCCATTCGTAACATATATCGTACATATATTCATATAAATACCAGTTACATATATTTTTAACAATAAAGCTGCACTTTTGCACTTCTGGTTAGACGCTACCTGCATTTTGTTGCCTTGTACTTATGTAATGACATTAAAGGTGAATCTAATCTAATCAAACGTGATCTTAAATCCATCCATCCGTTATCTCTACACCTTAATCCTCACTAGGGTGGTGGGGGGGTGGAGTCTATCCCAGCTGACTCAGGGTGAAGGCAGGTTCACCTGGACAGGTAACCAGTCTATCACAGGGCTACACTTAGAGACAGANTGCGCTCCTCAACTCTACCAAGAAGAGATTAGTGACTCAGTTTGGACAAAAAATTATTCGGCTGAACTGCAGGTTGTGTTACACAAGATTGGAAATTAATTTAAGCGGTAAAATATTTCATGTGGAGCCGCCATTTAAACACCTGTGCGGACATTTTGTAAATGTTGATTCAAGGTTTATTTTGCTAATTTTGTCAAATAAACAATACAAGAGTTTTTTTTCTTTTGTAATTTAGCACATTATTTATAAGTCATGCTGCACAAAAAACCATTTCTGACTTCTCCTTAATTGAGCCATAATTTTCCATCGAGGTGCCGAAAACGACGAGCCCACAGTGAGTAAAAATGATTTTAAGAACTTGAACTGCACTATTTTAATGTCCCTTGCACCGAAGATACAATTTGCACGTATCCATTCATAACATGACATATATTCATATAAATGCCAGTTAAATATATTTTTAACAATAAAGCTGCACTTTTGCACTTCTGGTTAGATGCTAACTGCATTGTATTGACAATAAAGTGAATCTAATCTAATGTAACGTGATCTTAAATCCATCCATCCGTCATCTCTACACCTTAATCCTCACTAGGGTCATGGGGGGCTGGAGTCTATCCCAGCTGACTCAGAGTGAAGGCAGGTTCACCTGGACAGGTAACCAGTCTATCACAGGGCTACACTTAGAGACTCCACGCAGAAAGATCCTGGGTGTCCTCACCGGGACGTGAACCCGCGACCTTCTAGCTGTGAGGCAACGATGCGAACCACCGAGCCACCTGCAGCCCTTAATCAAAAATGTACTTGGAAATTTGTCCTGTTTTGGTCAACAGATACGCGATTTGGTCCATAAAGGCACCACTAGGCAGAAAAACATGAGCTCTGGTCGGAGGTCATTAAGCGACGTCTTTGTCATGGTGGCCCATCGCTAGCTAAACCCCCACAACGCTCGCTACAGGCCAATACACTGGATGGATTTTAATGACTTAAATGTACTTGATGTGTGTTTTATTGAGGAAAATGGTATCAAATTGGGGCAAAAACATGATGGGAACATCCCTACTTCACTTTAAATCCTGATTCCTGCTGTGCATATTCACCCTTAAAGGCTCATTCTGGAGAAAAAAAAACATACTTATTAATTTTATGGAACCCTCTTTACCAAAATAAATGAGAAAATTGCTAAAATGCAGAGGAGAAAACGAGGCATTTGGACCGTAAGCTGAGGAAATGTGCTTTCCGTTGACGCATCGGCGTCTCCAGAGCCGCTGAGCTCTCCTCATTCAGCTCCAGATGAAGTGTTTTTCTGTTTCTCTTTCCCTCCTCAGCAGGAACTGCAGCCCCAGAGTGAGCGTTCAGCTGCACACGACTCAATCCTCAATGGGTTCATTTTCAATTGGCCCACTCAAAGGTTGTTATTATACTCTGACCTACAAATTGGAACTTCCCGTTAATACCCCATCATTTCTCCCCTTTGAGCTCCGTAAAAGAAAAAAAAAAAAAAAAGGGCTGCCTGTATTTGCTTAACACACATCTGTGTGCTGTGTTGTGAAACCTCCGAAACCTTCAGTCCACTTTATCAGAAACCACTTCGTCAGCGTTAACGCGAGCTGCACGTGAGTCATTAACGGAGAGCTGCTTCATAAAGAGCGTTAAACAGCCCATCAGCAGCGTTTTAGTCGTCATGTGAAGCACGGCGGCAGGAAAACAAATCCTTTACAGCCAAATCATTCTGCTGTGACGATATAAAGAGCGAGCAGAAATGGTTTGGAGATAATCTGACGCAGATCTGAAAGAGGTAATACGAACCTCATTAGTATATAAAAGTGATGCTGTGAGTTATCGAATCTAAAAAAAACAAACCTTTGATAGCATTTTAAATATTTTACATCATAGCTGTCCTCCTCTATGTGTATATTTGTACCTCATATTAATATTCTCGTGATTTTGCTCCTACAAATACCAACTTTATCAGAAGCAGGCTGATGAAGACGTAAGGAAACGAGCCCATTCATTTCCCATTTCTCCTATTCTTAGACTACAGCAGATAAAAAGTGTTGCAACTTTTCTGTCTTTTCAACACATTTTGTTTATTATAATTACACGGCGTGCATTTTTATACGGTTTTATTTTACGAGTATTTTAAACGGGAACTCTGTAATTCAGTGATTTTATAGACGAATAAATTAAAACTTGAATCCTTTTTTTTTTTTTAGGCTGCAGCTTTTCCTCTAAATCTCAATTTGTATTAAAAATAACTCGGATTTAATCAAACTGACCCGTTTACAGGAAGGTTTTTTCTATTGTAGTGATCCGTAGCAACACATTAACCTGAAAACGCTCTAATTGTTTTTAATTTTCTTGCAGAATAAGTTTAAAACTGAGCTGGTTTCATTAAAACGTGGGTTTTAATTACACGAGGAGCTCATCATTCCAAATACAAATGATAGATGTGATATGGAACAGTTGGAGAATCGATGGTAATCAGTCAACCGCCATCTTTTTTTAACACTACAGCAGCTTTTTAATAACTGGAAATGAAGGACCCCAAAACCAGAAGCTTCCAAAAACTGGGATTTAAGAACAAGCTGGCTGGTTTAACTTTGGTTTTTGATAATATTTTACTACCCAGGAAGGAGAAAAGACTTGTTTTGTCAGACACAAATCAGTAAAACGTCAACAGAGGATCGACATCATTTCTAAGGTGAGAATAGAACATATAAACTTCAATATGTTTTATTAGAAAAAGCTTTAAAGGAGTTTATTCTTGTGCAAACAGAAATGAAATGATGATCACTGCTGTGTTGTTTATTCTAGTCTGACATGCTCTCCTCTGAACAAATCCTCTTTGGTTGGAAGTTAAAAGTTGTCCATCAACAAACTTCCAGGATGAATCCGATATTTTTGAGGATGTCTGGAAACATCACCACGTTTTTTTTAATGCTTCTGATTTAACCCACTGCAGTCTGGAAGTCGACTGGTTGGTTCATTTGCTTTCATTTGAACAAATTCTCATTGGATTGGCGACGACTTTCATTAAGAGAAAAGCTCTACATCAACACACCTTTAGGATTATTTTTGGCGTCTGGATTAACAAACTACCTTTAAATACAACTTTGAACTTGCAGAAACTAATACAGACCGCTAGATTTAACCTAAATTTAAACTTTACTGAACATTTAGTCGGCTCCAAACTAACGAACAAGTCATCGACGTTTTAGCCAAAAACTCCAGGTTGACCTTTAGTTTGTATATCACAGCTCAACAGCAGCTCATTTTTGTGGAAAAAAAAACACATGAATCCACGTCTGTTTTTATCATGCCAGTAGAAAATAACAAATATGCAGATTAAATATATTTAATATGCTGCAAACACTCGATGTTTTGGTCCTTTCAGACTTCATTTGGGCTAACGAGGCTAGCAGGTCGAGCTAATTCTAGAGAAAATGCGCAGTTTTTGTATCCTGCAACCAAACAATGGTTTTCTTTGGTTGTAGTTAGTTGACATGTAAAGACACATCTGTTTGACAGCTGCCTGGGGGCAAATAACCCACAAATACCTGGATTTAGTACCCAACTACTCAAGTAAAGCTCCTGAAACAAGCTGGTGGGAGAAAAAAAAGCAACAAGTTCAGCTGCAGGTCGGTCCAAAGAAATCTGATTCGTTGTTGTACTTCCTCCTCGTGCACGACCAATTTCACATGACCGATCGGCCACATTAAGGGCTGCAGTCTGACATCACAGAGGTCAGAGGCTGCAGGTACCAGCGGGTCACCCAGGTTCTGACCTCAGCAGCCGGCCCACTTCATCCACTTCATCTCCTTAATGACGCTCATTAGAAGCCACACAGGTACAGTGAGCAGCATCGACGAGGGCGGAGAGCAGGGAAATAAAAAGGACGAGAGCGAAGAACAAAGAGGGGAAAGAGCTCCGCCGACAGCCACCTCTCATCGTCTCGGGGAGAAAATTAAATATTGATCAATCCGGAACGGCGAGAGAGACAATGCAGAGAGGAGAGACGGATATAAATAAATATATACATCAAGCGATCGGGGGGGAGGACAGACGGGCAGAATGGAAAACTGAGATTTATCTTTTCGCCACTTTTTTTTTTTTTTTTTTTTATCTCCGTTTTGATTGCTCGGGGGGGTTCGGCAGAAAGTATGCACAAAGGCTTTAACGGAGCTTCACGTGTCAGAGGCGATAAACATGCCAACGGTGTCCAAGTGGGAGAGATTAACTCTCCTCCGATATACATTAAACCATCCTTAAACAAATACCGACTGTAGCTTTTCCTGATAAAAATTTCTCCCTGGTATTTAATTATCATCATCATTCTAGTCGGATTTCTCCACAGATAAATCCTGCGGGATAATTAGAAGGATTTTTTATCTTTATTCTATATATTGTTCCTGACTGAGCCCTCAGTCATAAACGCTGGAAACAGGAGACGGAGGCAGAGCCGTGGAGATGCCTTCGGAGGGAAATCGCGCCGCATTCTTCCTTCGGCTGAGGCAGTAAATTCTCAGGAAGCAAATACAGACAATTAAAAAGCTTAACCTCTGCCAGGAGAGCGCGACCTCTGACTTTCTGCCCGTGAAACGACTATTATGACAAACCGGGGTTATTTAGGATCGCTAATAAACCTGAAGACGGAGAGGAAACTGCAGAGAGGGCCGGACAGGGGTTTGCTGCTGATGGTTTCCACTGTTTTTAACGCCACAGAGGCGAAAGACGGGTTTTACGAAGCAGTGCAAGGACAAAAAAATAGACGTAAATGAGCAGCAAACTGGTGTCTCGTTTAGAATGTTTACATGTGCATGCAGATGTTTCCTGCAAATATTTAACCCTCTGAACCCTCCAGCGGGATTGAAAGGCATGTTATCTTTACAATAAACTGACACAGCTGCACTATTTATCAAAGACAGAAAGATTTTAAATTTTCTGATGGTCCGTGATAGTAAAAAAAAAAAAAAAAAAAGCAGCTAATGTAAAAATCGCTCTAAACAGGTTTTACTTAAAAATTTGCCAAAAAATTAACGGTTTCCACTAATAAAATTCTGTTAAAAACAAAAAATTCTGTAGTTCTCACAGCAAGCAAGAAGCCGTGATCGACTCGGCTGCGACCGACAGTCTCGTGACAAAAATTCAGGGAGTTTTCGGCTGAACTGCAGGATGTGTTTACACAGAGCAGAGAGGAGACGAATTAAACCGATTAAGAGCAAAATAAAACAGACCTGATCCATGTATTGGCTGAAAGTTAGCACACAGAGCAGCAAGTTGTTGTTTCCAGCACGGTCAAAAGTCTTTCTGGAGTTGATAGGAGACACCTAGTTTGTAGAAATTGCAGAAATGTACCCGTAGGCACTTAAAAACATGTTTTTTGTATGTATGAATTTCCACGTTTTTATGATTTATGGCATTTTAACTGTTATTCTGCATATTTGAGTTCTCGCTCCTTCTGCTGGACTTTATATTGCAGTAAAAAACGAGCCAACAGCGAGGAAAAATTAATCGATTAATCGTAAAATAATTAGCCCGGCTCTACATGATCGATCACTCAATATGCGGTTCTTTTGAGGCAAATGTTAAGATTAATGTAAAACTTTTATGAGGAGGTTTTTAGGAACAGTCTGTGAGTGAAAATGTGACGAGAGCAAAGAAAGGCAGAGAAAACACTAAAGATTGTTCATAAAAACAGTTAAAAAACCAGCATTTAATTGACTGTGAACCACGTTTTTGATTATTACTGACTCCCTCGAACTCATCAGTACATTTTCCTGTAAACCCAGACCTGCAGACCCGTTCCTCTGCGCTTCATATTTACCTCGTCCGGGCTGGACGCCTGGTACGTTCGGTTGTCGTCGCTGAAGTCCTGGTCGGCCTCGGCGGACTCCGTCTCTCCGTTCACGATGCCGTGCGACTCGTAGACGGGCGTGACGTTGTGGCACAGAGCGATGGCCTTCACGGCCTCGTGGATGCGGCTGCTGACGCTCTTACGGACCTTCGGGCCCGACGTCTGGGTCTTCCGTGACGGCGTGGCGCCGCTGACGCTGCCGTTGGACGGCTGGGAAGTCCCCTGAAACAGAAATAACAACCGTGACTTTAAAAAAAACAACACATTTATGGGTTTATAGTTGTTGTTTTCAGGGGGCTACTAAAATGTCTTCAGGTTCTAATGTTGAAAATATATATATATATATATTTTGCTCCCTCCTTCGTTAAAAGTCCAGCCTGCTCTGATCAGACGACTGACCGCATGAAACTAACATTTCTTACGTACACTGCAAAAAAAAAAGCAAACAAACTTAAAAATCTGGCAACGAGGCGCCACAAAACACATTTAAACATGATGGGATGCAGCAACCTTGAAAAACTGTTTAAAAACGGTGACATGAACAGAAAATATCTATAAAATAAAGAAGCTTACAGCTGATTTATTACCACAGTCTGATCTTATGATCACACATTGCAAAAGAGCAAAGTCTTAATTGTAGAAATGCAGATTGTTATTATGGACTTTATGTACAGTTGGCCTGCTTTTATTTATTTTTACAGTAAATGTGTAAATAATTTCTTTTTTTTTCTTTTTTTTTTTTTTTTTTAGATTTTACTCGATCTGATCATCTGTAATTTAACAAAACAGGAAAACTTGAAAATAACAATCATATTTACCAGTTTTAAATATTAATATATATAAATTATCTTTTAAATAAAGCCAAATATTTGTAAAATTATATTATTTTTCTTGCTTTAAATACAGCAAACAGTGCAATTTCATTACTAATTATAATAATTAGTACATAAATAATTAATTTAATAATTGTTTTTTTTTAAAATACAGGTTTTAATACAAACATTATTGGCAGATTTGATGAGTCAACATGTAAATGATGACTTCATGTGATTTTACTCGACATAATCTGTAACTGAACATAACAGGCAAGTCTGTAAACAAATAAAATAAATCTACCATTTTCTATCCTTAAAATATATATTTTTTTCTTTCAAATTAAAGCAAACATCTGTAAAATAGTGGGGTTTTTGCTGATTTAAATCCAGCAAAGAGTCGTTATTATCTGTAATATAACAAAACAGCAATAATCTATGAGCTATATTTCCCATTAATGAATGACCTGAGGGTTGT